CCGCCAACACCTGCTTCTCCATTCCCAAGTAAGACTGCAAGCCGCCGGTCACGTGACCCCAGCCCACCCCGGACCCTTTCTTCTCGGGACGGGGAAGTGTTTCCAGGATTTCCTCCTCACGGGGAAGAGATCCGCCTGCCTCTCGCCGCGGGGCCGCTGGGAGCTGGGAGCGCACATGGCCGAGAGGACTGAGGGGGGGGGAGAGGGGCTGCGCTCTGGAGCCCACGGGCCAGCTGATCCAGGAGAACTGAAGCGCACCCATTCGGTGCCGCGGGTTAGAACAGAACCAGCGACAAGCGCTGTATCTATACCGGACTCTGCTCCACCATCTTCATCATCCCTCCCGTCTGCTAAAGATGCCTCAGCAAACACTGTCATTTCTAAACTGGAGGACACGGGATGGCGAAAGGCAGCTGGCCTGCGTTTCTCTGGGCGTCAAACCGCGACACCTGTGGCCAAGGTGGAAGGGCGAAGGTGTTTACAGATGGTTTAACGATGCGGACTTCATGTTTCAGATGATTTCAAACATGCCCCCCTCACCCCCCCTCCAAGCCCTTAAAAAGGTAACAGATGCCCTACCCAGGGATCTCTTCCTGAGCAAACAAAAGCCATCCAGGCCCACTTGTTTCCCTATAAATCCACCCGAGATCCCAGGAAGCTCTCCCAGTGGGGAGAGGGGGTGGAAGGGGCTGAGGAACCTCCTCTTCCAAGCTTCTCAGCCTAGGTAGGTCAGGGGGTCAATGGAGGTATCACACACAGAGCAGTGCTTGGCTCACCAAGTGCTGCCATTGGCTTGGGCCAGACAGGGGATCAACCAATCAGAAACCAGCACAGCGTGGATTCTCACTAATGAGAGTGTGAAGGGGCACCCCCCCCACATGTTTATCTATAGAAATAACACTGCAAAACCCCAACGGCTCGCAGCTGTGCTGGCAAAGCAAGGGGCTGCCAGTTGCTTCACTTGCCGGACCCTTGACTGAGCTACCGAGCTGCTTCGGGTTCGAGCCCCTTTTCCGAAGGTAGTCATCCACTCCACTGGCTTCTAGTTCACTTTGGTGTCACTATAACGGTTAAAAAGGAGACCAGCGACCTCTCAAGAGATGAAAACGAGCGAAGGGCTCAGAGCACCTCGAGTTTAATAAAAAGGGGGGAGACGGAAGCCCCCTTGCCCCCCGGTGACCTCGGACCCCGGCTGTCTTACCGG